CGCCGCACCCACTCATCCACCGCAGGAGCCTCGATCTGGCTCTGCTGCCAAGGTGCCAGAACCGGCTGGTAACCCAACACACATTGGAAAGGGGTTAGGTTAGTGAAGGAATGGCGTAGGGAATTCTGGGCCATTTCGGCCCAGGGAACGTACCTGGCCCACTCCTCCGGCCGGTCCTGGCAGTATGTTCTAAGAAACCTACCCACATCCTGGTTCACACGTTCCACCTGCCCATTACTCTCCGGGTGGTAACCCGAGGTGAGGCTCACCGAGACCCCCAACCGCTCCATAAAAGCTCTCCAGACTCTGGAGGTAAATTGGGGACCTCGATCAGACACAATATCCTCGGGTACCCCGTAGTGCCGGAACACATGGGTGAATAGTGCTTCGGCGGTTTGCAGGGCAGTAGGAAGGCCCGGCATAGGGAGCAAACGACAGGCCTTAGAAAACCGGTCCACAACGACCAGTATAGTGGTATTCCCCTGTGAAGGAGGAAGGTCAGTGAGGAAATCCACCGAGAGGTGAGACCATGGTCATTGTGGAATGGGCAGGGGTAGTAACTTACCCCTAGGCAGATGTCTAGGCGCCTTACACTGGGCGCACACCGAGCAGGAGGAAACATAAACCCTCACATCCCTCGCCAACGTGGGCCACCAGTACTTGGCACTAAGACAGTGCACTGTCCGGCCGATACCTGGGTGTCCAGAGGAGGGTGACGTGTGAGCCCAATAGATCAATCGATCCCGAACCTCGAGCGGAACGTACTTCCGACCCTCCGGGCATTGAGGTGGACTAGGGTCGGTACGTAACGCCCGCTCGAGTTCAGCATCGACCTCCCACACTACCGGTGCCACCAGACAAGACTCCGGCAGTATGGGAGTGGGCTCCACGGACCTCTCCTCCGTGTCATACCGCCGAGACAGTGCGTCTGCCTTACCGTTCTGTGACCCAGGGATGTACGTGATCTTAAATGTGAACCGGGTCAAAAACATATTCCACCTCGCCTGGCGAGGGTTCAGCCTCCTCGCTGCCCGGATGTACTCCAGGTTACGGTGGTCCGTCAAAATGAGGAAAGGGTGTTGAGCCCCCTCAAGCTAGTGCCTCCACACCTTTAGGGCCTGTACCACGGCTAACAGCTCCCTGTCCCCTACGTCATAGTTTCGCTCCGCCGGACTGAGCTTCTTGGAATAAAAAGCACAGGGGCGGAGTTTAGGTGGCGCGCCGGACCGTTGCGAAAGCACGGATCCTACACCGGCCTCTGACGCATCCACCTCTACCTGAAATGGCAAAGAGGGATCCGGATGCGCCAGCACCGGGGCCGAGGTAAACAGGTCCTTCAGCCTCCCAAACGCCCTGTCCGCCTCGGCTGACCACTGCAGACGCACCGGACCCCCCTTCAAAAGAGACGTTATGGGAGCTGCCACCTGTCCAAAACCCCGGATAAACCTCCGGTAGTAATTCGCAAACCCCAAAAACTGCTGCACCTCCTTCACAGTGGTTGGCGTTTGCCAATTACGCACGGCTGACACCCGGTCTACCTCCATCTTCACCCCTGACACAGACAACTGATAACCCAAAAAGGAGACCGACTCCTGGAAGAACAGACACTTCTCTGCCTTGACATACAGGTCGTGCTCCAACAGCCTCCGCAACACTCGGCGCACCAGGGCCACATGCTCGACTCGGGTAGGCGAGTACACGAGAATGTCATCTATGTACACGACCACCCCCTGCCCCTGCATGTCCCTGAAGATCTCATCCACGAATGATTGGAAAACTGAAGGAGCGTTCATCAACCCGTATGGCATGACAAGATACTCGTAATGGCCTGAGGTGGTACTAAAGGCTGTCTTCCATTCATCGCCCCCCCTAATGCGCACCAAGTTGTACGCGCTCCTGAGATCTAATTTAGTGAAGAAACGCGCCCCGTGCAATGACTCCGTCATGGTCGCAATCAGCGGGAGTGGATAACTGTACTTCACCGTGATCTGATTGAGACCACGGTAGTCAATGCACGGGCGTAACCCCGCATCCTTTTTCTTCACAAAAAAGAAACTCGAGGACGCAGGGGAAGTGGAGGGCCGTATGTATCCTTGTGTCAGAGATTCCTCTATGTAAGTCTCCATAGCTCTCTTCTCCTCCTGAGACAGAGGATACACATGGCTCCGTGGGAGCGCAACTCCTGCCTGGAGGTCTATCGCACAATCTCCCTGCCTATGGGGAGGCAACTGCGTCGCCCTCGACTTACTGAACACAATAGCCAAATCCCCATACTCAGGGGGAACATGCAATGCGGGCACCTGGTTTGGACTCTCCACCGAGGTAGCCCCTACAGAAACGCCTAAACATCGACCCACACACTGGGCAGACCACTTCATCAGAGCCCTCTCCTGCCACGAAATAGATGGGTTATGGGTACTCAACCAGGGCATGCCCAGCACCACCGGATATGCAGGCGAGTCGATCAGAAATAGCTGGATCATCTCCTGATGACCCCCCTGCGCACACATCCTTGACCTCCCTGATCAAGCCCGCACCCAACGGACGGCTATCTAGGGCATGAACGGGGAAGGGAACGTCAACAGGGAGAAGGGGAATCCCTAAGGCTAAACAACATTTCTTATCAACAAAATTCCCAGCCGCGCCTGAATCTACCAGCGCCTTATGCTGGGAATGAGGTGCTACCTGTGGAAAACGCACAGGCATACAGAAGTGTGCAACAGAGAGCTCTGGGTGAGTGGGGCGCCTACTCACCTGGAAGGACTCCCCAGTGCGGGACCTGTCGTCTTCTCCCCTAGGGGGCCATCCCCAGCACCTAGCCGCGGTGTGTCCTCCCCGACCACAGTTGGTGCAGGAGATGGACCTCGTCATCCGACCCCTCCTCTCTCTAGCGCCAGCGCCCCCGAGCTCCATGGGGCACGGCTCGGAGGCGCTGGAGGGTGAAATGGACGGACCCCCCTCGGGACGTCCGCGGGTAGCTAGCAGGGTATCCAGCCTGATGGACATGTCGACCAACTGGTCGAACGAGAGGCTGGTGTCCCTACAGGCCAGCTCCCTACGGACGTCCTCACGTAGACTACATCGGTAGTGATCGATGAGGGCCCGCTCATTCCACCCTGCATCCGCCGCTAGAGTACGGAATTCTAAGGCGAACTCCTGGGCACTCCTCTTCCCCTGCCGGAGGCAGAACAGACGCTCCCCCGCCGCTTTCCCCTCCGGGGGATGGTCAAACACCGCCCTGAAGCGGCGGGAGAACTCGTCGTAGGTGATTGTGGTAGCGTCGATTCTCCTCCACTCTGCGTTGGCCCATTCCAACGCCTTACCGGAAAGGCAGGAGATCAGGGCGGACACGCTCTCGTGTCCCGAGGGCGCCGGGTGCACGGTGGCCAGGTAAAGCTCCACCTGGAGAAGGAATCCCTGACACCCGGCAGCGGTCCCATCATAGGCCCTCGGGAGCGAGAGTCGAACTCCTCTGGGTTCCGGAGCGGGAATGGGCTGACTTGCCGATGGTGCGGGCAGGGAGGATGGTGGTGGAGGTTTCCCTCGGGTCTCCCAGCCTCGGATGGTGGTGATAACCTCCTGCAGTGCGGACCCCATCCGCAGGATCTGGTCATTCTGCTCGCGGACCCGGTCCTCCAGCGTCGCCTGTGCTGCTGCGGCTCCTGCTGATTCCATTCTTGAGGTGTGTTATTCTGTCAAGGTAGATGTAGGTGGGTGTGGTGGTGGAATCAGGCACAGGACGCAGAACGTTAGTCCAACAGACTTTAGTAGATGCACACAAAAACAATCACGAATAAATGCCCTGAGACGAAAACTCCGCACGTAGGCGAAAATAACGGGCGCACTAACAGGTGCGACAAAACACTCCAAACAATGTGGAGAAATAGCTCAACCGAGCAAACAATAGAATAACAGCCTACCGGCACGACAGTAAAACAATAACACACAACACTAGACAAACACAACGAGAACTTATAGGACACTAATTACACTAAACGATAACAGGTGTAACACCAATCAGACAAAAGCAAACGAACATAGAAACATGCAACGGTGGCAGCTAGTATTCCGGAGACGACGAACGCCGAAGCCTGCCCGAGCAAGGAAGAGAGGCAGCCTCGGCCGAAACCGTGACAGCTATGTAATGGAGAAAATATCCTTTCTGTTTTATTCAGCTAAGTTCAATTAAATTGTTCTTACTATAAAATCAGATAAAATAAAATAATGGAAAGGGACTCATAAGCATATATTGTTAGCTAAATGAACAAGCTTACAGCGTATGACATGGTGCATAACCAGATAGTAGGCCAACTCATATTCGGTTCTTCTGAAATACATTTTCTTCATATCATAATGTTTATATAAAAAATGAAATAAATAATGAATTTATTGTGATGGTGTATATTAAATTGATTTATTAGACTTTTTTAAATGTAGATGTTCTAAAGGTGCACATCAGTGGCTTGTATGAGTGGAGGCCTGGAGATGCTAAATGTGTTTATGTTAATTAACAGTCAATTACCGTGAGACCAGCATGCTTTTGCATGACAATAACCGGCTGACAACATTTCATGACCACCACAGTCCTAGTTAGGAGTTAGGTTAAAGGGTTGAGGTTAGGAGAAGGATTAGCTGACATGCTAAGTAGTTGCAAAGTAGCTAAAAAGTAGTATGTAGATGAAAAGTTGCTAATTAGCAAAATGTCTAAAGTTGTCCATGATGAGATTCGAACATGCATTTAGGTTGCTAAACATTCATATTAAACACCTACCCATCCACCCTGACCAGCCACTTTCCTTTTGTTTTTGCCTTAAGTAACTTATGTCTCATGTAACCATACCAAACGTAACATATCATACTAACTTGAAAGTCCAGGATTTATATTTACTATGTTACATGTAGTCTGTGAGACCAGGCTGCCTTTACACTGTGATGTTTAAGAATTATGCAATAAATTCAGTGTATCTGTGAAAATCAGAGATCAATGTTCTCTTATTCAGGAGTCTACCAACTGGGTTCAGGTTGAGCCTGTGGCCATCACTGAAGAAGGCCCAATGTTCAGGTACTCTCCTGGAATGTATTAGTCCCTCACCATATACAGTAGATTAAAGCTTTAAGTTTTGTTATCCAACAATTCTGTCTTAAGATAATAATAACTAGATGGAATGTACAGTTGAAGTCAGAAGTTTACATACACTTAGGTTGGAGTCATTAAAACTCGTTTTTCAACCAGTCCACAAATGTCTTGTTAACAAAATATAGTTTTGGCAAGTCGGTTAGGACATTTTTCCAACAATTGTTTACAGACAGATTATTTCACTTATAGTTCACTGAAGTTTACATGTGCCTTTAAACAGCTTGGAAAATTCCAGAAAATGATGTCATGGCTTTAGAAGCTTCTGATAGGCTAATTGACATCATTTGAGTCAATTGGAGGTGTACCTGTGGAAGTATTTCAAGGCCTACCTTCAAACTCAGTGCCTCTTTGCTTGACATCATGGGAAAATCAAAAGAAATCAGCCAAGACCTCAGAAAAATAATTGTAGACCTCCACAAGTCTGGTTCATCCTTGGGAGCAATTTCCAAACGCCTGAAGGTACCATGGTCATCTGTACAAACAATAGTACGCAAGTATAAACACCATGGGACCCCGCAGCTGTCACCTAGAGATTAACGTACTTTGGTGCAAAAGTGCAAATCAATCCCAGAACAACAGCAAAGTATCTTGTGAAGGTGCTGGAGGAAACAGGTACAAAAGTATCTATATCCACAGTAAAACGAGTCCTATATCGACATAACCTGAAAGGCTGCTCAGCAAGGAAGAAGCCACTGCTCCAAAACCGCCATAAAAAAGCAATACTACGGTTTGCAACTGCACATGGGGACAAAGATCGTAGTTTTTGGAGAAATGTCCTCTAGTCTGATGAAACAAAAATAGAACCGTTTGGCCATATTGACCATCGTTATGTTTGGAGGAAAAAAGCGGTATCTTGCAAGCCGAAGAACACCATCCCAACCGGGAAAAACGGGGGTGGCAGCATCATGCTGTGGAGGTGCTTTGCTGCAGGAGGAACTGGTGCACTTCACATAATAGATGGCATCAAGAGGAAGGAAAATGATGTGGATATATTGAAGCAACATCTCAAGACATCAGTCAGGAAGTTAAAGCTTGGTCGCAAATGGGTCTTCCAAATGGACAATGACCCCAAGCATACTTCCAAAGTTGTGGCAAAATGGTTTAAGGACAACAAAGTCAAGGTATTGGAGTGGCCATCACAAAGCCCTGACCTCAATCCTATAGAACATTTGTTGGCAGAACTGAAAAGGCGTGTGCGAGCAAGGAGGCCGACAAACCTGACTCAGTTACACCAGCTCTGTCAGGAGGAATGGGCCAAAATTCACCCAACTTATTGTGGGAAACTTGTGGAAGGCTACCCAAAATGTTTCACCCAAGTTAAACAATTTAAAGGCAATGCTACCAAATACTATTTGAGTGTATGTAAACTTCTGACCCACTGGGAATGTGATGAAAGAAATAAAAGCTGAAATAAATCATTATCTCTACTATTATTCTGACATTTCACATTCTTAAAATAACCTGACTGACCTAACTGACCTAAGACAGGTAATTTTTACTAGGATTAAATGTCAGGAATTGTGAAAAATTGAGTTTAAATGTATTTGGCTAAGGTGTATGTAAACATCCGACTGCAACTGTACCTGCTAACACTTATTTAAAGATGACAGTCTGACTTCATTGCATTTGTTTAATTAATTGTTTAAAAGAAATACAGTGTAAGTGAACCCCACCTCTTTAAGGAATACCTGGGATAGGATAAAGTAATCCTTCAACCCCCCCCCCCCCCCGCCCCCCCACCCCCAAAAAAACAAAAAAACAAAAAAAACATGTAAAGTGGTTATCCCACTGGCTATAAGGTGAATGCACCAATTTGTAAGTCGCTCTGGATAAGAGCGTCTGCTAAATGACGTAAATGTAACGTAAATGTAATGTAAATGTGAGGATCTACAGACAAGTTTAACAAAGTAAAGCAACCATTCTTATATTGGCCAACTGCTGATAAACAATTAAATACATGACTTACATATGCTAAACCCATTCTGTCTTCTTTTCATGCCGTCCCTAGCATGTCTCCCCCAGGGCGCTACGAGTGCACAGCATCAGGGCTCCGGTGGGTGTGTAAAACCCATGTCATTCTGACGTCTCAATTCAGCTCCTGGGAGCCTCACAGGGCAATGATGAAAAGCTTGGGGTACAAGCAAGGAGGCCCCCTACTGGACATCACAATCATTTCAGGAGAACTGGAAGAAGTGCATCTGCCACATTTTGCCTGTTTCGGTATGTTTTATTGTTTATAACTAAAATATAACTGATGCAAACTACTTTTTAAAATCCTTGTTAATGTCAACCTAATGTTTATGCAAATGTACTGTTTTTGCCTCTGCAGGCGATGATCCCTCCTTTAAAAAGAAAGTGAGAGTTCTACATGTAGAAGACTGTGGCGTGTCCATAGTAAAAGTGGATGAAGTCACCCGCTTCCACGTCAAGATCCTCCATCCATCCTTCTCTCCAAAAGGAGTTCTCATGAGATCTGGCCTTCGGGTGAAAGCGCACTGTGACTTGCTGCTCTACCAGGCCAAGACAGCATTCCTCACGCTACATGCATATCTGGTCCCCTGTGATTCCTCTGTAGAACAGGTTATTTCAGTTTATTGTTCTCCTCTGTGATTAAATAATATCTTAATGGTATCAATGCAGATAATACCAGTGGATTAAAAAAATAAGACATTTAATATATAGTGTATAATTGTCTAGATATTGCCAAGCTCCTATTCAGTGCTTCACTTGAGCAGGAGCTCACCGGAGCTGACTACCAGCACCTCAAATGTTCTACTGCTTGTTCCTCTTATAGAATATTAGCTCAAAAGTATTGTATTGTGGATCTCCTCCACCTAAATATAAACAGTACAGGCACCCAAAATGAGTAAATATGGTTCCTACAGACGGAAAAACAGCTGTTTATATTCTGTCCAAAAGCAGGGGAATTTGGTGGACTTATGGTTTTTGGAAACCGTGGGGGTCAGAGACCGATTATTATGGTGGGAGATTATAATACAGTTTTAAGTACCTCAATGGACTGTAAATCATAAAGGAAATCACACTACAAGCTATCACCCTCATGCACTTAGGGAAATTACAAATATCATGGACACATTAGAACTAGAGGATATATGGAGGCTTAAACATCTAGATTTAGTGAGATATACATGGAGGAGGCTTAATCAAACTAGCCGTCTTGATTACTTACTGGTATCCTTCGTGCTGGCACCAAAAGTTTTTTTTAAAGTGTTGATGGGGGTAGAATGCAGTCGGACCATCAAATAATTGGCATCCACATGACTCTTACAGAATTTCCACATGGGCCAGGATATTGGAAATAAAATTAAAGCCTATTGGATGACAACCTGTTTTTAACCAAGACAAATGATTTCATATCTGACTTTTTCCTGCGTAACATAGGTACAGCAGATCCACTTATTGTATGGGACACTTTTAAATGTGCCTTCAGAGGTCATGCAATTCAATTCTCATCTTTAAAACAAAAACAATTTCATTCAAAAGTGTTCACATTAACAAAGGAAATAGAAGAAATAACAGTACAGATGGATAGCAATAAAAACGGTACCGTAGAGTCACAGAATAATTTAGAGGAAAAAATTAAATAAATGGAGGAACTTATTCGGGAATTATCAAGTATAATGTATTATAGAAGTCAAGCGAATTGGATGGAAAGTTGTAAAAAATGCTCAAAATTGTTTTTCAATCTTCAACATAGAAATGCTACCAATAACAATTTACAGAAAACTTGTTACAAATGATGGAGTCATCCATGATTCACCAAATTATATTCTGAAAGAGGAAGCAAAGTACTTTAAGCATAAATTATTATTATTATTATTATAAAATTATTTTCAGTTGTCTCTTTTTCCACTACCTAAGGATATTTTTTCCTAATAATAGTGTAAATTAACAGCTGTACTGAAAGACTTGTGCAAGGGCCTAATTGCAGAGGATGACCTTCTTGATGCAATTAAAAGCTTTTAGGCCAGGGAAAACTCCAGGGCTGGATGACATACCAGTTGAGGTACAGTGCATTTGTAAAGTATTCAGAACACTTCCCTTTTTCCACATTTTGTTACGTTACAGCCTTATTCTAAAATGGATGGGGAAAAAATGCTTGTCAATCTACACAAAAATATCACATAATGACAAAGTGAAAACTGTTTTTTTGAAATTTTACCAAATCTATTACAAATAAAAACAGAAATACCTTATTTACATAAGTATTCAGACCCTCGAAATTGAGCTCGGGTGCATCCTGTTTCCATTGATCATCCTTGAGATGTTTCTACAACTTCATTGGAGTCCACCTGTTTTAAGATCAATTGATTGGACATGATTTGGAAATGCACACACCTGTCTATATAAGGCCCCACAGTTGACAGTGCATGTCAGAGCAAAAACCAAGCCTTGAGGTCAAAGGAATTGTCCGTAGAGCTCCAAGACAGGATTGTGTTGAGGCACAGATCTGGGGAAGGGTACCAAATAATTTCTGTAGCATTGAAGGTCCCCAAGAACACAGTGGCCTCCATCATTCTTAAATGGAAGAAGTTTGGAACCACCAAGACTCTTCCTGGAGCTGGCCTCCCGGCCAAACTGAGCAATCGAGGGAGAAGGGCCTTTGTCAGGAAGGTGACCAAGAACCCGATGGTCACTCTGACAGAGCTCCAGAGTTTTTTGCTATTCAAATTAGATCTAACAATAATATAGAGGGGATTAAAAAACAAAGGTGTCATTGTACTCTGACGACTCAAAGTTCCTCTTAAATCCGCAATCTGGATAATTTTTCTAACCTCTCTCGATTACAACCAAACTATTATAAGTGAACCATATTAGGTATATTCGATTTTTTTTTTAAATGCAACTTATTTTAGCAAAATATATTTCACTTTATTTGGAATGGCAAGCCAGACAAAATAAAACATGCTCATTTATATAATGAATATGAGTTCGGGGGCTAAAATGATTAAATATTAAAGCATTAAACCTCTCACTAAAATAATCAGTCATACAAAAGTTATACTTAAACCCGAACTGGTTCTCCAGTAGATTACTAAGAATGGCTCATCCCTTGTTAAAAAATGGCATTTTCCCCTTTATCAAGATTATAATCTCTCACTTTCAGTTAATTGAAAATGTAACCTTTATCAAAATATCGTCCTTTCTAAAACAAGCCATGCAAAAAGCTGGTTGCAATTCCAGTTTCACCCTCCAGAAAAGACAGAACAAATATTACAACAAATAATATGGTTAAATTCAAATACTAACTGACATGTATAAGTACTATATACAGTGGGGAAAACAAGTATTTAGTCAGCCACCAATTGTGCAAGTTCTCCCACTTAAAAAGGTACACGTCAACTATGACAGACAAAATGAGAATTTTTTTTCCAGAAAATCACATTGTAGGATTTTTAATGAATATATTTGCAAATGATGGTGGAAAATAAGTATTTGGTCAATAACAAAAGTTTCTCAATACTTTGTTATATACCCTTTGTTGGCAATGACACAGGTCAAACGTTTTCTGTAAGTCTTCACAAGGTTTTCACACACTGTTGCTGGTATTTTGGCCCATTCCTCCATGCAGATCTCCTCTAGAGCAGTGATGTTTTGGGGCTGTCGCTGGGCAACACAGACTTTCAACTCCTCCAAAGATTTTCTATGGGGTTGAGATCTGGAGACTGGCTAGGCCACTCCAGGACCTTGAAATGCTTCTTACGAAGCCACTCCTTCGTTGCCCGGGCGGTGTGTTTGGGATCATTGTCATGCTGAAAGACCCAGTCACGTTTTCATCTTCAATGCCCTTGCTGATGGAAGGAGGTTTTCACTCAAAATCTCACGATACATGGCCCCATTCATTCTTTCCTTTACACGGATCAGTCGTCCTGGTCCCTTTGCAGAAAAAACAGCCCCCAAAGCATGATGTTTCCACACCCATGCTTCACAGTAGGTATGGGTGTTCTTTGGACGCAACTCAGCATTCTTTGTCCTCCAAACACCGACGAGTTGAGTTTTTACCAAAAGTTATATTTTGGTTTCATCTGACCATATGACATTCTCCCAATCCTCTTCTGGATCATCCAAATGCACTCTAGCAAACTTCAGACGGGCCTAGACATGTACTGGCTTAAGCAGGGGGACACGTCTTCCACTGCAGGATTTGAGTCCCTGGCGGCGTAGTGTGTTACTGATGGTAGGCTTTGTTACTTTGGTCCCAGCTCTCTGCAGGTCATTCACTAGGTCCCCCCGTGTGGTTCTGGGATTTCTGCTCACCGTTCTTGTGATCATTTTGACCCCACGGGGTGAGATCTTGCGTGGAGCCCCAGATCGAGGGAGATTATCAGTGGTCTTGTATGTCTTCCATTTCCTAATAATTGCTCCCACAGTTGATTTCTTCAAACCAGGGTGCTTACCTATTGCAGATTCAGTCTTCCCAGCCTGGTGCAGGTCTACAATTTTGTTTCTGGTGTCCTTTGACAGCTCTTTGGTCTTGGCCATAGTGGAGTTCGGTGTGACTGTTTGAGGTTGTGGACAGGTGTCTTTTATACTGATAACAAGTTCAAACAGGTGCCATTAATACAGGTAACGAGTGGAGGACAGAGGAGCCTCTTAAAGAAGAAGTTACAGGTCTGTGAGAGCCAGAAATCTTGCTTGTTTGTAGGTGACCAAATACTTATTTTCCACCATAATTTGCAAATAAATTCATAAAAAATTCTACAATGTGATTTTCTGGATTTTTTTCCCTCAATTTGTCTGTCATAGTTGATGTGTACCTATGATGAAAATTACAGGCCTCTCTCATCTTTTTAAGTGGGAGAACTTGCACAATTGGTGGCTGATTAAATACTTGTTATTACTTGTATATAAAAAAAGGGCCATATATGTAAAATGTACATGTAAACAAAAGAAAAAGCTGTAAAAACAACGTTTATTTTTGTCCTCCTGAGTGGATGTGCCGTAAAAAATTACACATAAAATTAGAGTCAGATATGGTTTTGCTGTGTCGAAACATCTCGCTGCAGTTTTTCTTGGGGTTGCCGGTTTTTCAGTTTAGAATATATTATATAGTTCATTCATTGACAGTGTCACACCACAAAATCCAACAAAATGTAATGTGTGAATGGTTTTGATAAGGAAATGTTGGCTTATGCTTCTTCAGGCTATGAAGAAAAAGGAGCAGTCTTATGGATACAGGAGTATCAGAAAGCCGCAACCAGTGAAGTCCCTTCGGATGAAGGATTGGTTCAGCCTCACAACATCATCTCCCTCTGCTGAAGTTAAACCTCCTGTATGGGTTGAGCTCCCACAGAATATCAATCTAGTCCAAAAAGCAATAGCAATTTTAATATCCTATAAAAAAACTACCAAAAGAAACACCCTCTCATCTACTGTCTCCACAGAAAATGAAGCTGAGGTATGACAACACTACACCAAACTTCTTTGAGGTGTTCATAGAAGATGCAGATGTTGACTTTGGGATGAAGCTTATCAGTGACGTGGAGGGGGAAATCGTCTGGGATCATACAATACGAAAAGGTCAGAAAAAGATTATGCGAAAAATATCAGTGTCTCAACAGGCACCATGTCAGTTAAAGTCAAAGATAATAATAATAATAATAATAATATTAATAATAATAATAATAATAATAATAATAATAATAATTCAATTTGGTGTGTTTTTCCCCCAGCTGACTACAGACACGAAACCACTCAGAATTCACAAAGTAAGTGTTGTAATATTCCTGTAAACATTAGAAGATCCAAAACTAAATGATTTTTCATTCGGCTTGGATCCCATCTCCGTCCTATGGATTAAAAAAATAAACAATGATTGGTGTTACTTGGATTATTATTTTTTACATGATAGTACTTTAAAAAGAAGTGGCAATATTTAGAGAATATAGTGGCAATATTTAGAGAATATAATCAAAATTACATTTTGTGAATAAAGTGGTAATATTTAGAGAATAAAAAGGCAATATTTCCAAAATAAAATGGCAATATTTGGACACACTTGGTGATTTATTAGATCATTAGAATTTATAAGTGTGAGTGTGCAGTGACGGCCTGTTTACGAGCGTATTTAGATCATTCGATTATTATCCGAATATTAATTATTTCGAAATCAAATTTTATTGGTCAATATCCAAAAATACAACAGGGGCAGACATTACAGTGAAGTGCTTACTTAAGCCGTAACCAACAGTGCATTTATTTAAACAAAAAATAAAACAATAACACACACAAAAAAAGTGTTGAGAAAACAGAGCGAATAAATAAAGTGACGTAGGAGGCTATAATACAGGGGGGTACCGTGCAAAGAGTCAATGCGGCGGGCAACCAGGCCTGTTGAGTGTAGTGAAAGTAATAATGTACCCATGTGGGTAGAGTAAAGTGGAGACTATGCATAAATACTTAACAGAGTAGCAACACGTAAACAAAGTTGGGGTGGGGGGCAGTTGCAAATAGTCGGAGTAGCCATGTTAGCTGTTCAGAGTGTTATTGGTTTGGGGTAGAAGCTGTTGAGAAGTCTTTTGCTCCTTGGTTCTAATACTCTTCCGTAGCATCCAAGCTTCAGCACAATTTATCATGGCTGCGTTTAAAACTCAAAGTAGACAGCCCTCGGCCCTAAACCCTCAGCCCTTGAATGATGTTTTACATCGTCACATCCTAGTATACCTTAAATGTCCCTTACCCAATCATGGGAGAGTGATGATCGGAGAGGCAACGTCCTTGGTGGAAATTTTGAAGTTGAGCTTAAAAACAACCAACTTAAAGCTATTAATGTGTCTAGTAAGCTAACGTATCTAGCTAGCACCCCTGTCAGGTAGCTAGCTACAGTTACCCATAGCTGGCTAGCTAGTTTTATAGTTTGGTAACTTATTCCAATACATTTCAGAATTCCAAAAATGTTTATGAATCTAGTTACGTTTTATAGGCTCCTCACTATGAGACTAAGCCAATTTGCCAACGCTAAAATCAATGGCTATTTCTATTTTTTAGCAAGCTAGCTTCATATTTTTTCTGACATGCCGAAAATGCAGCCTTGTTGATTAAATTTGACACTTCGCGGCCACCAGAGTTTGACATGTGACTACAGTTTGCATTGTGGGTCATATCAAACCCGCAAGTGACCAAAGTTGTTCACTCGCTCCCTCAAGATAAATCGAGGGCTGAAGTGAGTGAATTGGACCTCCACTTAAGATGGCAATCAAACTGCATCTGGTTTCGACTGAGATTCCCCTGAGGGAAAGTGGCTAGCGCAAGGGCTGAGGGGGTAAAAATAACGTGTTTAGACTGCAGACAATGTTTTTTATTTCGTTTTTTGTGTATTACAAATGTGAATTTCATCACGTTTAAATGCAATTGTCCTGCAACCAAACTTTTCCTCAGACCAGCACTTTGTTGACCTCCACCGGACAGACCTGATCCAGAGAGTGAGCCAGGTGAAGCCCATCTTGGATAAACTCCTGGCCAAGAGAGTCATCACTGACGAGGGCAACAGTACAATAATGGCCAAACGCACCACCCAGGACCAGATAAGGGAGCTCTACATGGGACCTCTGAGGGCAAGCGGCAGCAGAGCGAAAAATATTTTCTATGAGATCCTGAAGGAGCTGGAGCCACTGCTAATCAAAGACCTGAAGGGTGAATGAGGAGCTGGACTGGTGAATGGGGGGCATTTTAAGCTCATTTTAGGGGAAAGGGGCATAAATGATGGCAGTTACAGTTGGTTTTAAAACGTTGTGTTTACAAGGAAACACAATATAAGAGGAGTATAGCATCATTATTTTATCATTCTTATTTTTCCACATGTAAATATTAGTAGCCAGCAGAACAGCAACCCAATGTTTTAGCCTGGAGGCTTTGCCAAATATATACTATTTGATAGTTGGTTTGGAATTGAATTTCCTCTGAAAAGATAAATGTTCAACCATGTCACCTAGATGCTCTGGATCATTTACAGACAAGAAAATATATAAAGGAAATATTTTATGACAATAGAAAAATATATAATGAAACGATGATGCAAAGAACAATTACATTATTTCATTTCTGCTATTTTATGAATGACAAGTCAGTGAGGGTAAGGAATACTGGTGATGTAAATAAATATATGAAGATATGACTTTGTAAAGCTTTATGTACCCGCCTAATGAAACGTTTTACAGTAATGAATGATTTGTGACATCATTTTCACAACACAGGTATTAGAATATGTATTGAAATAAATACCTACTTACAGATGTGGCTTTTGTCCTGATTTAAATTAGACTAAACTGAAATGATGCAATTCTGTCATTGTGCTAAAATAAATATAAATTATATCCCGTGTGGCTCAGTTGGTAGAGCATGGTGCTTGCAACGACAAGCTTGTGGGTTGGAAAAAAGCATAAAGTACAAAAAATGTATACACTCACTGTAAGTCGCTCTGGATAAGAGTGTCTGCTGAATGACTAAAATGTAAATATATATTTGCTAACGTATCAGTTGTTTTGATTGATCGGCTAGAATTTCAAGCATCCAATACAGATAAAAACCTCAGTTACCTTCAATAAGATATACACTACATGACCAAAAGTACTACTTCGACTGCTCGTCGAACATCTCATTCCAAAATCATGGGCATTAATATGGAGTTGGGCCCCCCCTTTGCTGCCATAACAGCCTCCACTCTTCTGGGAAGGCTTTCCACTAGATGTTGGAACATTGCTGTGGGGACTTGCTTCAATTCAGCCACAAGAGCATTAGTGAGGTCGGGTAATGATGTTGGGCGATTTGGCCTGGCTTGCAGTCGGCGTTCCAAATTTCCCAAAGGTGTTCAATGGGGTTGAGGTCAGGGCTCTGTGCAGGCCAGTCAAGTTCTTCCACACCAATCTCGACAAACCATTTCTGTATGGACCTCGCTTTCCGTTCTGTGAGCTTGTGTGGCCTACCACTTCGCGGTTGAGCCGTTGTTGCTCCTATATGCTTCCACTTCACAATAACATCACTTTATGTTGACCGGGGAAGCGCTAGGACGGCAGAAATTTGACAAACTGACTTTTTGGAAAGGTGGCATCCTATGACGGTGCCACGTTGAAAGTCACTGAGCTCTTCAGTAAGGCCATTCTACCGCCAATGTTTGTCTATGGAGATTGCACGGCTTTGTGCTCGATTTTATACACCTGTCAGCAATGGGTGTGGCTGAAATAACCAAATCCACTCATTTGAAGGGGTGTCCGGTATTCAGACCGCTTGACTTTTTCCACATTTTGTTACGTTACAGCCTTATTCTAAAATGGATTACATTGTTTTTCCTCCTCATCAATCTACAAACAATACCCATAATGACAAAGCAAAAACTTTTTTTTTTTTTATGTTTGCGAATGTAAATGTATTAAAAACAAAAAATGGAAATATCACATTTACGGAAGTATTTAGACCCTTTACTCTGTACTTTGTTGAAGCACCTTTGGAAGCGATCACAGCCTCAAGTCTTCTTGGGTATGACGCTACAGGCTTGGCACACCTGTATTTGGGGAGTTTCTCCCATTCTTCTCTGCAGATCCTCTCAAGCTCAGTCAGGTTGGATGGGGAGCATTGCTACACAGCTATTTTCTAGTCTCTCCAGAGATGCTCAATTGGATTCAAGTCTGGGCTCTGGCTGGGCTACTCAAGGATATTCAGAGACTTGTCCTGAAGCCACTCCTGCGTTGTCTTGGCTGTGTGCTTAGGGTCGTTGTCCAGTTGGAAGGTGAAACTTCGTCCCAGTCTGAGGTCCTGAGCACTCTGGAGCAGGTTTTCATCAAGGATCTCTCTGTACTTTGCACTGTTCATCGATTCTGACTAGTCTCCCAGTCCCTGCCGCTGAAAAACATCCCCACAGCATGATGCTGCCACCACCATGCTTCACTGTAGGGATGGTGCCAGGTTTCCTCCAGACGTGACGCTTGTCATTCAGGCCAAAGAGTTCAATCTTGGTTTCATCAAACCCGTTCTCTCAATGCATCGTAGTCTGTCGACAAAGTTCTAATTAAAATCACACCGTATTTAAAGGGATGGCTTAAGATAAATGTACTGAAAACCCTATTGAATGAAAACTCCATAAGAGAATCTGTTGGCCAGCAAGTGGTAGCGTTTTCAGTGGTTGAATTACATTTAATCAGCACCTTTAAGGGAACCACACCTGCAAAGCCCATTATGCACCCACATAAGGTAAGTCTGAATATCAACTACTGAGAAGTGCTTAAGAAAGGCATAATTTCCTAAGTAGTAATTGGTCCCGAAGGGACCAGCTTCTGCATTCTTCTGAACAAACTAAATTATAGATAGCGGTAAGTGTTCCAAGATGGCGTAGTAGTGCAGTTGTGTTTTTGTTGTATGTCTGTAAATAGCCTGAAAATACCCTATTTTTCTGTATTTTTCGTACATATTTCCCTATCAGACTTTTCATCCTTCTACAAAATATACTTTCCTGCAACCTGCCTCACTCAATGTGGAACGGATTATATTATTGACTTACCTTTATCTAGAATCTAGAATCTCCAGTTGAAACTAGCTAGCCAGCTAACTAGCTACTTGCTATTAGCCACAGCTAGCGGTATTTCACCCAGAACATTGGATTTTTTTTCTGCGGGATTAATTTTAATCACTGGACATTAATCACCGGATATTCGGCCAGTCTGCACAGCGCTTTGTCGACCCAGAACATATCAGTTTTTCCGCCGGAATCACTGAATCACTGGACCTTTAACTCCGGATTCATCGCTACCAGCTAGCTACAACAAAACGGACGCTGTGGTCTGGCTAATCATCCTGAGCTAGGCCCATCTCCCGGCTATCTACCTCTCTGTCAACCGGACGGGACCACCTAGTGTTGACACGGAGCCCCGCCGATCCTACACGACTGGTCTGCCGACGAAATCGTCTGATGTGGTTACGACGTTAACCACGAAGATTCCATCCATCTGCTAGCCCCGGCCCGCTAGTACACGCTAGCCGTGGCCTCTTACTCACTAGTGCTTTACCACCGGACCTTATGATAACTCAGCTATACAGCTGATGTCTGCTGGACTGTTCCTTTTTACGGTACTACATCCTGTTTATGTTTAGCCTCAGCCCAAACATGGTTAGTTTATTGTTGTTTCGGTTATTTCTAATTGTACTATATCACTGTAGACCCCCCAGCCTAGCTAAACCTGCCTTAGATATCTCCTTTGCCCCTCCCCCTATACACGCGGAGACCGACTCAATTGATGCCTCCAGCGATGCTATCTCTTTCATTGTTACCCAACGCTTAGGTTTACCTCCACTTTACTCATATCCTTCCATATCCTTGTCTGTACATAATGCCCTGAATCTTTTCTATAACACCCGGAAATCTGCCCCCTTTATTCTATGTACCCAACGCACTAGAAGACCAGTTCTTAAAGCCTTTAGCCGTATCCTTATTCTAGTCCTCCTCTGTTCCTCTGGTGATGTAGAGGCTAACCCAGGCCCTGCAGCCCTCAGTATCACTCCTACTCCCCAGGCGCTATCATTTGATGACTTCTGTAATCGCAAAAGTCTTGGTTTCTTGCACATAAATATCAGAAGTCTACTTCCTAAGTTTGAGTTATTCACTGCGTTAGCACACTCTGCCAACCCTGATGTTCTAGCAGTGTCTGAATCCTGGCTCAGGAAGGCCACCAAAAATTCTGAAATTTCCATCCCCAACTATAACATTTTCCGTCTAGATAGAACTGCCAAAGGGGGTGGAGTTGCAATCTACTGTAGAGATAGCCTGCAGAGCTCTATCATACTATCCAGGTCTGTGCCCAAACAGTTTGAGCTTCTACTTCTAAAAATCCACCTTTCCAGAAATAAGTCTCTCACTGTTGCCGCTTGCTACAGACCCCCCTCAGCCCCCAGCTGTGCCCTGGACACCATATGTGAATTGATTGCCCCCCATTTATCCTCAGAGTTTGTACTGCTTGGTGACCTAAATTGAGATATGCTTAATACCCCAGCCATCCTACAATCCAAGCTAGATGCCCTCAACCTCACGCAAATTATCAACGAACCTACCAGGTACAAACCCTAAATCCGTAAACATGGGTACCCTCATAGATATCATCCTGACTAACATACCCTCTAAATACACCTCAGCTGTCTTCAACCAGGATCTCAGCGATCACTGCCTTATTGCCTGCGTCCGTAACGGGTCCGCGGTCAAACGACCACCCCTCATCACTGTCAAACGCTCCCTAAAAACACTTTAGCGAGCAGGCCTTCCTAATTGACCTGGCCCAGGTATCCTGGATGGATATAGATCTCATTCCGTCAGTAGAGGATGCCTGGTTGTTCCTTAAAAGTAATTTCCTCTCAATCTTAAATAAACATGCCCCATTCAAAAAATACAGAAATAAGAACCGATATAGCCCCTGGTTCTCCTCAGACTTGACTGCCCTTGACCAGCACAAAAACATCCTGTGGCGTACAGCATTAGCATCAAATAGCCCCCGCGATATGCAACTTTTCAGGGAAGTTAGGAACCAATATACACAAGCAGTCAGGAAAGCAAAGGCTAACTTTTTCAAACAGAAATTTGCATCCTGTAGCACTAACTCCAAAAAGTTTTGGGACACTGTAAAGTCCATGGAGAATAAGAGCACTTCCTCCCAGCTGCCCACTG